GGGATGAAAAATGTATCTTTTATTGTTTTTCTTTTGAATTTCACAAATCTAACAAAACGGCTACTAAATACGACAAACTACTAACACTTCGCTCAGTACATGACAGTAACTGTGCCAAACACACAGGAAGGGGATCAGTTCAAAATGCAGCGTGGAGCCATTTTGAGCAAATAACCTGAAATACAGAACTCAGAGAATAGGTCTGAAGATAACTTCCGTAGTGTTTCAGATTGCTGCATTCAAATGGCGATATCTCGTCTTAGAACTGACCTCTTCTCATCCGGTTTTTGTATGTACAGTAGAGACAATACATTTTTGGGTCGCTGTGTCTCCGCTACACAACAAAAAAAAGAGAGTGAGACACACCGTGCTATGTACCGCTTCTACGGCTCACACGAATATTAAGCCTGCGTCCTGACCGGGACAGGAAATGTTAGACCGAGGAAATCTGCATCATTTCTGGGCCCAAATGTCAACCCTCTGTCCTTTTATGTTTATGCAAGTTGAGTGACATATTGATAAGTTGTATCAGCTGGAACAGAGTTTGGCAGTGTGAGGTGCCACAAACTGGGAGGAAAAAGTAAAGAGTTGCCCCACAATAAAATTCAAGCATCAAACTTCAATTATTTTGTTGTGTATTCCAAGACTGTTAAAAGGACCATACCAGGTCATGTTTTATCCAATTTACTATAAACTGCTATGTAATATTACTGTCGACCATTTAAAAAAAATATACATTTTTACCCAAACGCACCATATTTAGGATTTGTGAATCCAATAATTTTACTATAATAAGAAGACAAGCTTTGACAGTCCATGTTGGATCAACACGTTTCAACATGGCCGGATTAACCCGTTAGGAGGCCCTGGGCATGAATTTGCTGTAAGGAACCCCACCGGGGCCCCACTCTCCGTAAAAACCTGCTGTGGGTTTAGTGTACATTACGTAACATATTATCAAATTGGAAGTTGCTTGATATGACAAACTTGTTAGTAAACCGTTGCCTTTATACGCATCGATTAGATACAGAGCGACATTAGCATTCATTTGGAGTCGTGTTTTGGAGTTTTTCTAAACTATTTGGCTAATAGCAGCTAAATGCCCTGCCAAGTTCCCCAGCAGGCGGTGTACAGTGGGCTTTTGTAGCTGTTTCACCGAAAACGGCTGCCCTCTGTAGCTGAAAGTGACGATATGATCTGATGAACACCAAAACCAATTGGCTAAAAGACGCTAAAATGCTCTGTCGAGTTTAGGGGGAATAATTCTTTGTGGGTTCCCCACATGGGTGACCCCTTCCCACACAAACATTGCTTAGCCCATGAATCTAAAATGTTACGCCATGCTTTAGAAAATGGTCCGCACTAATGCAGTAAATGGGTTAAAAACAACTGACGTCTTTTTAAGTTAAAGATCGGAAGCTTGGAAACGCGTAGTTGTGGGTAAACCATCTCACCCAGCTTCTGGTTTGTGGCAGCAGTACACCGCTTTGCTTTAGACCTTCCAGCATGTAGCTCAACCCTGAAGGACGATAGAGGGCAGACAGACAGACGCTAAGCTGGTGATCAAGCAGTACAAACGTCTTTGTCGTGTCCCCCCCCCGTTCCTCAGTAGAGACGGGCGCCGAGTCTCCACAAATGAAAACGGAGACCCGGCGGAGGGACACGCCGCCGAGACGAAACAAACAAACCTCTTGACACATAACTAGAAACGCTACCTCAAAACATAAGCAAACTCAGCTAGAAGATTGTTTTCTTTTTATTTTATTTTCATTTTTTTTAAAATTGCAAACAGACAAGAGCAAACAGACATGCAGACAGAAAGCACCGCCAGTCTATGTTAGTTTTGTTATTTTTCTTCACTCTTCGACTTTAATTTATTTTTTGGGTCTTTTGAAATTGTCCTTCTCCAGCTTAGAGGTGGGACTGTAAAAAATAAATTACTAAATAAGAAAAAAAAAGACAAAAAAACACCCAATAAGGACACATTTTGGGACGGTGTGGTGTGGGCAGCCGGGACGGACTTGTTGTTTTGTTCTTCACGCGTGTAGAATGTTCAGTAACCTGTTTGGCCAAATCATAACGAATTGAACGGCTTCTGTTTTACAACGTGACTGTTGAAAGCTGATTCAGTCACCTCACTTTGAATCACAACTTCAACAACACCGTTTTTTTCTTTTGTTTCTTTTTGACCGTATTCGGACCGCTAACATTACCCACAATCCTCCTTCAGCTCTGCCCTGCTGCTCCACTCCCCCCCCCCCGCCCGTCCCTGTGATCTCACCTCCTGAATCAAGGGGCACGACACCTGTAACCATGTAATTGTTTTGTTGATCTACCTCTTGGAAAAAAAATAGGTAAATGGTAATTCTTTTTTTCTTTTTTGAAAAATGACACAAAAATGATAAAACAAAAAAAAAGTTGCTCAAAAGAAATATAGGTAAATGAATAATGGGTAGCGGCATCTCCATATACTGTAGTGGATAGTCTATTAAAGGAAAACAAAACTTTTACTTCTTCCAAAGATGATTTTCTTTTCTTTCTCCATTCTCAGTTGTTTATCAAAGGATTATGAATTCATAATCTGAAAGGGGAAGACAAAAACTTGCCACCTGTTTTTTTTTTTTCTCTTTAAAAAAACCCAACATAAATGAGATTATTTCTCTTCCCAATTTGCATTTTCTTTTGTTCATTTCGTTAAACTTACACTTTTTAACTTCAAAATATTTTTGGTTGATTTATAATTTTTTTTTTTCTTTTTTTATGACAGCAGATTGTATCTCTTGTGTTTGGGTGCATTTAGTATTTTCTTTCTCTCTGTGAAAAAGCCTACATGAGTTAGAGCGCCCTCTGAGGACCTTCTCCACTGATCGATGATCGATTTTCTCTTCTCATGAGTCGTTTGAAAAAGCAAAAGGACCTGTTGTTTTAGCTGACCGGGTAGCTGCAGGTGGAGGGAGGGAGGCCGCGTACCATTTCTGTCCTCGTGCTGCTCTGAGCTCCGCCCCCATGTACTTGGATACGTGCGGTCGCAACAAGACGCAGCGTGAGGCGGAGCGAGTCTTCCTCCTTCTGCCAGACAGCGACTCTGGTCTTTACAGTATATGGACTTTCACCCTCTGCCTGCCTGATTCCTTTAGTCCTCATCAACACTTGTTTTAAACTCCTTGTAAACAAAACAGAGCATAGATATGAATGTGTTATTAAAAGATGAGAAAACGGATCCTGTCGCCTCCTTGTGGTCTTTGTGTGTGTGTGTGTGTGTGTGTGTGTGTGTGTGTGTGTGTGTGTGTGT